CCTGTAAGCAGCAGCTTGTGCTGGAGTGAGTAACCATTCAGCACACGGAAGAACTAGGAAGTACAGAGCAGGGAAGAAATGGTGGGGGGAAAAAACAAAACACAAACCTGTCAAAGGCTTATTAAGTCATAGGCCTACAAAAAAAAATTCTGCTAGAAAAAAGTTGACACCAAGCTAGGGTTCAATTTAGATCACATCAGCTCTTTGGGCAAGAACTCCAAGTGGTTCACATTCCAGTCAGGGTCACTAGATTGATCTCATTTGGATCACTGCTCTGCATAGCTAAAACATGACTGCAGCAAATCCTACAAGCTGTCAGGTGCCGGTAGGTTTCTTTTGTTCTTTTAAGTTATAAGCTCTTTCAGACCACCAATCATTTCCAGACTGCTATACTATGTACTACTTCTTGCTAAATTAGCATTCCACATTCTTACAACTACTCTGCCTTGAGAATTCTAGAAATAGCTAAGTCACTCTTCCTATTCATATCAATCCTGGCAGTGTTCCAGAGCTCTGAACAAGCAGAGGAGAAAAAGAGCTAAGGGTTTGCCAATGTGTCTTTAAGGTAATTTGCGCTGGTTTTCACAACAATGAAGTAATTCCAGACAGAGGTAGTGAGCAGTTGAAGTAGTGAGCTGAAGAGAAGTGTACCATGTTCACCAGCACAAACTGACAATAAAGCAGAAGTTTATTTACGAGGTTGGCCATTTCTTTGCTTATTTTACACCTGGTATGATACAAGGTCAAACTTAATCGAAGTAGCTTGTACTAGATGGCAAACAAAAAAAAACACCCACCAAGAAGAAAACACCACACCACTTATGTTTTGGTTATCACACCAGAAGGATCCTTTTAGTGGCCTCCACAAGAGTTTATCTTTCTACATTGTTATAGTCAAAAAACAATACTCATTTTGGAATCAAATATGGAAGTTATCAATTATATCTGCAAAACTTTGGTAGATAACCACAATCTGTCAAGAAGCATCCGACCTCTCTTGCAGCCAGACACCTGAAGCTGTCCTTATGGGACAGGAAGTTGCTCTAGAAAAAAGTAGCTTTAATGGTCTTGGTGGATAACCAATTGTAACTATTAGTTATAGTGTAATCTTGAGCATTCACATCCCCTTTCAATTAATGAACATTAAGCATTCATCACTACTTCCAATAATTTCAATGCTAAGCATAAGATGGCATCCAGTCTTCAGTGCCTACAATAAAAAAAAAGATCTGGAAACTGGACTTCAAGCACAGCTGTGATGTCTCTGAAAGATGCCGCATGCCAAGATCCAAAAAGCTAAGGCCATTTAAACAAAAAAAAAAAAAAAAAAGAAGTCAAGGAGGCAATTGTTTTACACATCCTCCCAAGAACCTATAAAACTAGATTTCCAATAACAATTGTTTTTAACGTACTAAGCACTAGAACCCAGCTGAAGACAAATCAATACCAGAATTATGGCACAAGGGCTTAGGGAGGGGCTGAATTAAGAAAGTATAGTCAAGTCTACTGAATTCAAACAAGCTTAGTTAAGGTGCAGCCTCATATAAAAGCAACTATATGGCTTTTGGCATCTACCCAGGCATTTTTGAGCACTTCTGCCCACCTCTCCCATTTCTGTAACATCTAATTAAGTTCTGCTACAAACCTAGATGAATGCAGAGTGCAAGCCTACTCTGGAAGCAGGATAGCTGTGCTCATGCAGCTTGTTTTATGCTCAGTATGGTAAACCTTTCCAGAACAGAGGTGATGCAGATATACGATCTGCTTTCAGAGAAGCCAGTTGGTATTTGAGAGCAACAATGATACCCAGGTTTTTCTGTTTTCCAGTGTACACCAATTGCCTATTCACCCAGAAAACAAGCTGTTTTAACCAGCAATATGTATACAAGTGAATTTGTTGCCAGTGATAATATCCAAGTTAAGGCTGTTGAATTTTTTTTTTTTAAATAACAGATCAAATTTACTATTGAACAAATGACTAAGAATTGGCAGACAAATTTATATGTGCTTAGGAGCAACTACCTAATCTGCTGAACACACTCTGCCCACTCCCCCCTGCAACATATGCCATGCTTATAAACCACCTAGGCTTCTCTGTACCTTAGACTGATTGTTCTTCAGTCTGTGAGCTTCATCCACAATGAGACAGGCCCAGTCAATAGAGCCTAGTATGGCCATGTCAATTGTGATCAGTTCATAGGAGGTGAGAAGCACGTGGAACTTCACAGCAGCCTCCTTCTGCAAAGGAAAAGGATGAACACGGTAACGGGATAGGGGAATGCCCCAGGGCAGAGTAGACACTGTGTTTCTCCAAGTTATTCTGGTGAACCCTGGTCAAACAGCACATCAAAACTTTTCACGCCCACAGTTTCCTGCCGCAAGATTCAAAATGCTACCCAAATCATTCTAGCCTTCTAATCCCCTACTCCTAATGCATGTAAGTCTCCTCAACCCCCTCAGTACCTGCTGCTACTTCTAGACAGTTGCCAAATATTCTAACAGAAGTTTAACAAATAAGCAGTGAATAGGGAAATGAGATTTGGAGAAGAGTGGCTCATCAAGAAGCTGAGACTTGTCCTTTTAAGTAGTTTATCATGGAGCTTTACATTACTCTTAGTACTTAATGCAGTTCAATTTCAAGGGAAGCAAAGGAGTCCCGTCTACTTCTGCCACTGAAAAAGCTGCCATCTTGCTTTTACTAGGAAGACTGACATTCTACAAAAAACTAGCCACCTACATCAGGCTCTTCCTCCCTGTTTAGACTACAGCAGAAGTCTAAACACCCACTATTCATCCTTTTGCAGCTATTTCCCCTTGAAAACTACAAGTATAATCAGTTCCCAGGGACATGAGAGTATCTTAACCTCAGCTGCTGAAAGCCAGTCTAGTGCATCTCTTCTTCCAGTTCAGGCTTGCATTACAGCAGTTTCGTACCTTCATTCTGGATGCTTTTTTGCCTCCACGTATGGCATTATCCTCAAAAGTGAACTCATTCTCACGGATGATGGCCCGGCTGTCTTTGTCCCCAACGTAGGTCACTACATACATATCTGGGGCCCACATCTCAAATTCTCGTTCCCAGTTGATGATTGTGGACAGTGGGGCACTCACCAAGAAGGGACCCTTTGAGTGGCCCTGCGAATAGTCAGTAAGAGCATTAGATGAATGCAACCACTAACACAGGCAGAATCTCCTTGACTAGCGATCTCCCAACTCTCACCTCTTTGTATAAGGAATATAGGAACACAGCTGTCTGCACAGTCTTTCCCAGACCCATTTCATCGGCCAAGATTGTATCTGTGCCCTGGGCCCAAGAGAAGCGCAGCCAGTTCAGTCCTTCCAGTTGGTAGGGATGCAAGGTTCCCCCTGTTACATCGAGGTACTCTGGTTGCCGGTCGTATTTCACTGTTGGCTACAATGGAAAGAAGGAAGAACTAAGATCCTTTACCTTAGCTAGACAGCTACCAAGACTCCTTTCCCAGTCACCCACATATTCCCTAGTACAGATGAGACTTCACAGATTACAGCCAGACTAGCACCAGACAAAAATCCCAAACAGCCAAAGGTATCCACCAAAAAGCTTTTTTTTTTTTTTTAAAAAACCCTTTCACCAAGAGCCAGCCAGTGTCTCACCCAATGGACAAGGTGGGCCTTTGTCTAAAGGCTCTATAACCCATTCGTTCAATCTGCAGTTTCCTATTTACCTGCCTCCATCCCCAGAATAAGCAGCTATATCAGATGGCTCTTAAGCAACAAACAGTAACTTACATCTACTGTGGGAGTCTCAGGGGGCCTCTCCAGTTTCCGCATCTTCACTTTCTTTAACTTCTTACCAGGCCTGCCCTCTTCTCCTCTCATCAGCTCCCTATATAGATACAGTCCCAAGAACATGCAAGTTTAACAGCTTTTTGTAACAGATCAAAGGGAAAACTATTGCAAACAATAGGAGGGTGATCACCCAATTCAAACAGGCTGAAGAAAACAGGGCTGGAACCTTCATGTACTGGTGGAGAGGCACAAGGTCCCCACACAAAGGAATAAGGAGTCAGCAGCAAGAAGATGCTTCTTGGCTACCTCCATATATTAATCCAGCCAGTGCTAGGGACTGACATACTCCAGTATTTTCTCTTGAGGGAAGGGAAAGGAACACAACTCCTAGATACTTCTCTTACCTGTGATTCCAGTAGGCCTGCTTGTAGAGGTCATAATCTTGGATATCCACATCTTCACTTTCCCAGGATGCCTGGTCATAGGGTAGGTCTCTCCATTTAATCAAATAGTGGACATTCCCCTTCTTATCCACACTGCAGAATAAACCAGAAAGTCTTAAGCACAGTGAAATGACGATATCCACCCAATTCATGCAAATGGGAGAGGAGGAAAGGATCCCTTAATGAAGCAACAGAAACAGAAGAACAATGTTTGTCATAACAAAAGAACTCCCACCGTTTCCCCGTCATATTGCAGTCCAGCTCATCCACTCTCCCTTAGCCCTGCTTAAGGTCTTTGTCGAAAAATCCTCTTTGCTACCTTCCCTACCTATGATTAAGGATCCTGTGGATCATCATCCACTCAGGCTTGATCCCGTATCGATAGAAGCGCTCCTCCATCTCAGCATATTTGGGGTCCTTGTTTTTCCTCTTTCGACTTTTCTCCTCTTCCCCTCCGAAGTCCCCTGAGGGTGGCTCATCCATATCATTCTTGCGTTGGTAGTTACGAAACATGACCTGGCAGTGCAGCTCCAGCTGGAGTCAGGACAGAAGCAGTTAGTAGGTGTTTTTTCCCCAACTATGCAAAGTATCTCCCCTCAACTATCCACCCTTACAACGTGCTTAGAGTCCTCCACTCACCTGCAACTCTGACACCCAAGAGCAGTGCCAGTAGGACATGCCCTGCCATTTGACAAAGAACTGCCGTTCAGGCCGACCCTCCAGGGGCTTAGGGGGAGGAGCATTAGGGTCTGCATCAGGTGGACGTGGTGGTGGGGGGCCAACTGGGGGCTGACCCCATTTCCAGATCAAGATCTTCTGCACCTTTCCTTTCAAAGCTGGGCACTGAAAAGTTAAACAGAGCTTGTTACATCAGAGTGTACATACTGTAACACAGAAGCACGGAGTAGAAACATACAGAGCCACAGTTCTATTCCTTGATTATAGCTTTAGTGTGCAGATAGAATTTGCTTTTTGGACTTAGAAGTTTGCATCCTCTTATCTCCAGCATGTCTTCGAGCTTCCTCCAGTTTTTTTTTTTTTCTAGGACTGACAAAGCCCCAAATGAATTCAGTATCTCAACTCACTTGTCTCCCCAGGGCCACACCAATTCAGAAATCCTACATGAAATACAGAAATTGCTAGGCTCGATGACTCCAGTAGCTATCCAACCACAACAAGTTTGTACAGAAAATATTTTGCTGTAGAACTGTCATCCCAGCACAGGTATATGTCCTGAAGCAGCCTTTTTGTTCGCTATCTTAAAAGTCCTCATTGCCTAATCAAAGCACCTAACACCATTTACAATACTTCAAGAACTTCCTGGAAAAGTGTGAAATTTCTCCCAACCAAGAAAGGGCTTGATATTACATAGCTTGCAGTGCAAAAAACCAGTTTGGCTCAGCATCAGTTTAAAGTATTTTTTTAAGCACTGAATTTGCTTGCACTTGTTCTTCTGCTTCTACATACATGCAGAATCCCAGAAAATTGAGCCTTGACATCCTGAACCCAAAACTGCCCAACAACTCTGCCCATGGGCAAACCTCTTGAGACTCAATGGCTGTAACCCTGTCCTTCCTGCCATCTGGAGAAAGCAGCCAATCAGCAAGGCACAATCCAGCCACCAGAAAGCCAGGGCTTGATGTTTTACAAAACAAGGGGATAGAACCTTTGAAGGACTAGGCCTTTCCAGGAAAACACGAGGATCCAAAGGGATTAGATCGATCACCTCCTGTAGCAATAAAAAAAAATGGTACTAGCAGAAACTCACAGTGCAGCGAGGACACAGCCACTCTCCATTGGGAATCTCTGGCAATGGGGGATTCAGACAGTGGATGTGGTAGGATGAAGGACAGGCATCACAGCACAACAGCTCTCCTCCATCCTTGCAGACTCTACAGAACTCCATGTGGTGGTCATCCTCTTCCTCAGCATCCCCCACAACATCCTCCAGGATTTCCTCACCTTCAGAGTTATCCTCCTTTGCTTCCCATTGAATACCCTCTTTTTCCTATAGGAGAAGGAAATCAGAAAACCAAAGTGTCACATTTCCAATTGTTTTATTAGTGCAGAAAAGCAACCCTGAGTCACTTGACATCCCTCTCCATGATCTCGTGCAGAGTTTGGGCAAACCCAGTACTCACACAGTGTGGGCAGCTCCATTTGCCCTCTGGGGCTTTCTCCATGTCTGGATCCAGGCAAACCATGTGGTAGGCACGAGGGCAGGTATCACACAGTATAATTTCTCCTCCCTGCTGGCACACCTCACAGTAGTCCTGGTGATCAGTCTCATAGCCATCCACAGCCACGGTGGAGTCCTCCTCACCTGCAGAGGGTGGTGAGGAGTTACAGCAGTACAAGCCACAGGTACAGGCTTCCAACAGCCAGGGAGGGTACTCTCCCAGCAGCCTACATAGTAATATGGAGATCCAGAATCCAAAACTCTTGCTCCATCTACGCAAGTAAACAGGGCAGGGAGCAAGAGCTGGAACAGGAAGAAGACAAGCCCCTTGGTGCCTCCTTCCACCCATGAAATTAAAGGTGTAGTTAAGGCCAGAAAAGCTCAGCACTGTCTGTTACCCTACCGAGGTGAGAAAACTCCTGAAAACCTTTTCCTTGTTAAAAATAACATCAGGTTCTTTCTTCACAAACAATTCTTGTCCCTCAAGTACACTATTAAAGATCCAGATTCTGCACAGATGTTCCTCTAATCTCTCTACACACTTAGCTGTGCTTCTGTCTCCAACTGGCAGCAAGCATCAATACCTTTCTTTTTCTTTTTCCCAGCTTTGAGTTTTTTGCGACTGCGGCTACTACGGCTTGTAGATCCATCTGAAACAGAGTAGCTGTTGATGCTGGCATCATCAAAGTCTGACTCCACATCCAGATCATCATCTTCACTCTGAGGTAGGTAAGAAAAAACAGCTATGCTACTCAGGCACACACTCTGGGGGCAGCAATCAGACATGCATCCCAGCATTTCTAGCACATCATCACCTCCTCCTCAGAAGGTCAAGGAAGGAACATCACTCACCGATGATCTTTTACGCTTGGAACCAAATCCTCCCAGTTTGATTTTCAAAGGTGCCACCTTCTTAGTTTTAGGTTTCTTGATATCAGGAATACGGGGACTGGCCTTTGGCTTCCGCCGGGCATTGGGTCCTGGGAACAGAGGAGCCTGCGAGTCAGAAGGACTACTGGTTTGACACCACTCACCCTCTACCATCCTGCCAGACTCTTCATCTCACCTTTGCCCTCCTTTGTCTTGGCTTTCCTGAGCGGCACATCTACAGGGGGCTGCGGCAGGACAGCATCCACATTTGTCACCATACTCTCCACTACTGCAACAGCAGCAGCTGCAGCAGCTGCAACAGATGCACCTGAACTTCCCTTGAAGGGGTTGTTTGTGCTAAACTCCCTCCATTTGGCTCCCAGCACCATCATCATCTTCGACACTGCTATTTTAGGGTTCTTTGCTGCAATAAGTGGCCTGCATAAAGTAAAGGAAGGAAGAGTTACCAAACCACCCTGAAATCTAGATCATTATTCCTCCCTGCTGCCACCCCCATTAGCACCTTTATCTCAAACTACATTCCTTTCTAATCTCTGATCTCAACAGCCAATGAATCTCTCCCACTCCCATCCTTCACTCTGCATGGAGGATGCAAATGCCCATGGGCTTGGAAATCGAAATGGAATTCAGCACACTAGGGAAGAAAGGGGACTGGGCATGAGGACTTCCATCATCTCAATCACCCAAAACAAAAAAAAATGTGGACCAATTATTTTACTGTTGCTTCAGTTTTTGCTCTAGGTAGGACACTAGTGTCTGTAATGTGCCTTGAGGTTCCAAAACCAAGGAACCTAGTTCTTGTCCTGTGTTTTTTTTTTCCCCACCAGAGTCCTTCCAAGTGTAGGCTTGCAGTTCACCTGACAAACTGGCTGAAAGCTTTGTAGTTGGTGAGAGTGCGGTAATCCTCCTCTGTGAAGATATGATCAATATCCTCCATGCCCCAATCTTCCAGGAGCTGAGCAGATGACTTGGGCTCCTGTGCAAAGAGAATTGCAGCAATTCTGAGAAAAAGCTCTAGTTCTGTGGAGCAGAACTTCCACACATCTATGGACCACCCAATGGGTCAGGACTGGGGGATTTCCCCTACCCCTATCCACCTATCACTGCCATAGGACACAACATCAGTGGAGGTGGGAAAAGTCTTTGAATTCAATATACCTTCTAGGCACATTTAAAGCAGAAGAGGGGAAGGAATGCAAGGTGGGGAAATGGTCAAGTCAAGCAAGGTCTAGTAGAGAAAGAACAGCCCCAAATCCATGTGCCATCACAACTGGAGAGCACAATGATGTCCAAAATCAGATAACATGGGAACAAGAAACAAGCAGTCAGCCAGCAGAGTAGCTTCTCACCTTTGAGTCGTCATCTTCTTCCTCTTCTTCCTCCTCCTCCTTGCGTTTGGCTTTGTTTTTCTTTTCCTTCTTGGGCCCTAGTTTCTTCTTTTTCTTCTTTCCAGGAGTGTAGTCACTGCCCTCACTGTCAGAGCGTAGAACCTCCTCTTCTTCCTCCACAAACTCATTCCCCTCACCAGAGCTGTCCCCCAGCTGGGGAGGGAGGGAGAGAGAAGATCAGGCAGCTGTGAGAAAATACCCTGGATAAGCACTAAACACCACACTCTCCCCAGACTCTAGAGGGTTCATACAAAGGATTGCTGCCATAGGCTAACAACAACAGCAAGTACCCTCACCCCATGTATGGATATTTTAGAGCATGACCTTAGGCATCCTTTGCCTTACCTCCTTCTTCTGACGCTTGCTGAGCTTGGGCACTTTGGGTTCCTTTAGTTTCTTGGGCTTCTTCTTCTTCTTGATTTTGGGGGTGTCAGCCTCTGACAGAAGCTCTTCTTCTGGCTCTTCTTCAGGCTCTGGAGAGGAAGAGACACGCCTCATTCAAACCCCATCTGTGTGCTACAGCATAGCCCACTTATCACAGAGATCAGTCAGCTTGTGTACTTCTTGCTACATACTTACAAAGCTAGAAGTGTTTACAACTGCTTACTGTTATTGTTCACAACAGATACTAGGTAATCATAGCCTAAGTTACCATTGCACATGGCTTTCCCCCTTCCTCCACCACCACCTATTTGCACAATATTCCTTCTCCAAGCAGAGCTGCACTTGGATCTTGGGGACCAGAAGTTTTCCATAACCCAATGACAAGAGGAAAGAGCATAGAATAGATGGCTACATCTAGAGGAGACAGAATGGTGAATACATTTGAGAATCTGACTAGGATACCATTTTAGTCCATGGGTCTCCAGGAAAGAAACCCACAGCTACCTAGCCCCTGGAGCAGTACAGAGCGTCCTACAGCTGCATGCAAAATACAGACTAGTAAGCCACTGCTTGTCCACCTCCATAGGAAAGTTATTACTCAGCAACTCTGTTCCAATCCAGATTTGACACAAGCTTCCCCCAATCCCTTCCCCCCACACCAACAGCTAGCCAGCTCACCGCCTGGCTAGAGTAACACGTGCCAGCTCGCCACCACCACCCCACGCTCCCTTCTGTGCCCCCCTTCTCTGCCTACCCCCCGCCTGAGGGGCAGGGGCAGACAGGCAGCCTTTCCCTTTGTGGCAGGCTGCGGGAGCAGCCTGGCCACCC